TAAAGTACCTGCTAAACAGTTTTTGATGAATTTTAGATTGTTCCCTGAGTCGATTAAGTAACCTTATAAAATGAATTAATTTATACAATCCGAATTGAATTTATTGATAAATAATTTGATCAAACGCAGTAGCAAACATACTGACAATTACGAAATTTAATACCTTTTGAAGAAGAAATCCACATAAGCTGACATAAGCAAATATTAAGCATACAAGTTCAAATTAATAATATTTTATTCAAGTCAGTTAAATAAAATACCTAACTAGTAACCTAACTGATCTACAATATGTGGTTAATGTGAAACATTATCATATTTAAATCTAAAGAAAAAAAATACTAGATAGAAATCTACACGGACTGGTCAGCAAACGAGACTCGAACCCGCACCCTTCGCTATCCGGGCCAATGCACTGACCATTATGCTACCGCGGCCCTGATGGCCGTGTTGAATTCTCTCTAACCTCTCTTAAGCTGCAAGGCAGCGCCATCTCTTCGCATTGTAGGTAACCCACATTGTCAAAAGAATACCTTTACAAGTATTAAACATTTGAAAGAAGAAATAGCAATTATATATATATTTTTTTTAACATTTAACTGCTATATGCTTAAATGTAAAGAAAATTTAACTAGAAAAATTTCCATGCGGACCAGGCAGCAGACGGGACTCTAACCCGCACGCTTCGCTATCTGGGCGAAAGCACTGACCAGAAAAAAAAATCTATTTAAAATTTTCTTTAAGATTTAAGCATCTAGCAGTTAATTGCTTAAAAAATAAAAATACAAAAATTTTCTAAAACTTTGTACTTGGAAGGTTCCGACTTAAAAAAATCGGTATTTTTTTTGTTAAAAGAGTGCCAAACAAGCATCATACAGCCCGCCTGATAGTAAGTGGCTAACATAGCCCATTGGCGCCCTGAAACCTTACTCAGCAACTGATACACAACAACACCAAAAGGTAATGTTATTTTATATCATTGTGTATAATACAAGCCTGAGAACAAAAACTGTAGTCCACACTTCAGCTCTACACCGAAGCGAAGCGAGGAGAGAGGAGAGCCACTAGTTTAATATAATGATGATAACTTCTTTGACATTAAGTTCTTATGAATTCAATATTTATAGAAACACTCATTTACATCTCAAATTTACATAATATGCGAGGCCATGACTGCCATGACATGGCATAATAACTCGTAATTTTCATCGGAAGTTATATTATAAAACAAAATTCCCACCTGTCTGCCTTAGTGTTCGTGAGGATGTTAAAAACTAATAAACCGATTATATCATACGGTCTTCACCATCAGATATTGTCACAAAAAGTTTAATAACTATACTAGCGGTCAGACTTTTAAGCTCTTCTGTAAGAGGATGGGGATTTTTTATACCTGACCTTTTTCTGTCTGGAAAATGCCTTACGCATCCTTCAACCACTGGGGGAGCGAGAAGAAGGTATGTGGGACTCCTCCCTGTCCTCTTCAGCCAGCCCTGGAGCTCGCTGATGTGAACAGGGCCCTACGTACGCCCTGAACCAGAACCAGACAATACTCCTGCATCGTCACCCGACACGCACTATGAGGACCGCGGTCCTACTAGTGCGTGCCGAGAGGGCGGGTGTGGTCGCGGAACCCGCAATACCTGACCTAACGTTAACATTTAATGTACATAGTTATATGAATTCTTTGATTTATCAAATCGAATATATTTAAATCTAAAGAAAATATAACTATAAAAAATTACACGAGGACCAGGCAGCAGACGGGTCTCGAACCCGCACCCTTCGCAAAATTATAATCGAATATATTGCTCAACCATCTCGAAAGAAAACTGATTCAAATAATAAAATAATCATTAATCCCGAAGTGAAAATTATTCGCGAAAAAAAAGTGTGAATCCGACACAAAGACATAGGGTTCCGTCAGAGCCGTATTATACCCTAGGGCATAGAGCAACACGGCCGACACGGCCAGGAGGGGAGTAGGCATACACAGTTTTCCCTCTGTCGCATTGGGCATAAAAATTGGACATACTCACGATATATGTGTACACGATTTGGCGGTGTATTGTATCATTGTTTATGTGTGAGTGTTGTAGTAATAGTTTTGTTTCTCACGCATGTACTTTAAACGGCATTTGTGTGCATATTCCCCCCCGCAAAGAATGGCAGAATAATTTGGACAGTAGGTATTATGCCGCTATGGCTAATCCTTTCCGTATTTCTCTATGCCCTAAGGCCTAAGGTCATTACATTATCCGGAGTGGCAGGCTGTGATTTAATTTAGTAATTCTTGGGGCAAATCGTACGATTTATATAATATTATTAGATACGATTGTATTGCTGCGTAAATTATTTAAAGTTTTTTACCTAACGGTTACTAAATAATAATAATCATTTATTTATAACCCAACATTTTACAATTTAAGTATCTGTTAGTCTAATTAAGTCAAGAAACTAGTCTGCCTGGTCCGCGTCGATTTTATCTAGTTATATTTTCTTTAGATAAAAACTGTATTATCAGGGTTTTTGACTAAATAAATAGTACTTATCTAGTGACTAATGATTATTACTATGAGAATCTAAGGCAAGGCATTCAGTCGTTTAGTTTTTAGCAAGGTCACCTTAACAGTTCAGATGTGACCTTAACTCAACTAATTTACTAATGTCGTTATTTTTACTGTGTCTTACTAATCTTGTTAAATATCCTCATCTATAACTACTTGAGGAGCTCAATGGCGCAAGTGGTAAGCGCGTTCGGCTGCAATCGTTGAAGTTAAGCAACTTTCGCAGTGGTCGATCATTGGATGGGTGACCAAACATTCACTATCTCGAGCTAATCCGTACTTGAAGGCACGTTAAGCTGTTGGTCCCGACTGCATCTGCAGTCACCAGCACCACCAATCCGCACTGGGCCCTTGTGGTGGGTCATGGCCTGATCTCCCTGTTCTATCCATAGAGAAAACCTGTGCTCCAGCAGTTGGGACATTAATAGGCTGAAGAATTAGGCTAATCCAATATAGGGCATAGTGTTTTTTCAGTTAAAATTGAAGGGTACTGATTTCAAAATAGGAATGATTGCGTCTAACTTTTTTTCTTATCACATCAAAAAGTATTTATTGCACACGATTTTTTTCTTTTTTCACTTATCAAAACCCATTACATAGATATATTGATTTGAAATGTCGCATGACGTCAATATTGTACCAAAACCAGTCTTGGTACGATTTCTGCTTAGGAGTGAAGTCATGAGCTCCCACTGCCGAACTTTGACGCGCTTTATCTTTGTAACATATTGGTTGATTGATAAAAGAAAAAAGTATCCATTATTTTTGAAGTGAAACTGCTTTTCGGACGGGGTGTAAATGGAAAAATCCTATGAAAAATATACCACGGGCCACTAGTATATATATAGATGTGTGTGTGTGTGTATGAGTGCGGGATACGTGCTAAGCTCCTCTCGACGCGCATGAAAGTTGGAGGGTAACTCGGCGAAGACTGAAACGCTACGAGCGTCGCACGCGATACACTAAGTTAGGTTAGGTTAGTGTTGTGACCACTCGCTCGGCTCGCGCGTCATGGTCACAACACTAACCTAACCTAACCTAGTGTGAAATATTACCGTTTGGGCCCTGGAAGAACAGTTAAGTCTACTATTGTAAAATGTACCAAAGTACCTTATTATTTCTAAATATTTGATAGTTTTCTAAATATAAATGTGTAAGTTTTTGACATGTTTGTTTAATGTTCAATTTAGGAAAAAAAATCTATATATAATATATTCTGGATTTTTAATAAATATTTTATGGACACCCTAATTATACGATCCGGCCAAATGTGGATGACCAAATCGTTAAATGTTGACGATTTAATAATCTGGTCAAATTAAGTTGGCCACATCATGAAATGTGACCATTTCATGAAATTCTCGAGCATTTCATGAAGTGATCAAATCTACGATATGGCCACGACATATAAATATAAACAAAGAGCTTGCAGCGCCTCTACTGGTAATTAATGTAACTACTTTACAATATGATCAAATAATTTTTGTCATTTCATTAAGTAGCCACGCGTTTAGTTGGCCATATCGTGAAACAATTTTTCATCATTGATCTGCCTAAACCACATCATGATGTGGCCAATAGATAGTGAAACATTTCATGAAATGCGACCATTTCATGAAATTTTCGAGCATTTCATGAAGTGAGCAAATCGACGATATGGCCACGACATATACTTAAGAGGATGCTCATTATGCACCGCATAATTTTAAGTTATTTAAGAAAAGAAGTTTCAATTCAAATTTGTGGTCCGTTCACACAATTTTTGATAATCTAAGTGACGGTTTTAATAGTTTTTTTTTTTACTTTATCCCGTTATCATTCCTATTAAATTGCTATTAGAAAACTGCATCATTCAATGACTTATGCCATATTTTTCGCTAAAATAAATTTTGTGGGGATGCATCGCCAGTATGAATATAAATTATAAGCGCATATCTACGAGTTGCGTGGACTGAATTTCATGATTCCTTTTTGAAGTGAACGGCTGGTGACAGCATTACGCGTTACGAAAAGTGTGTTCGCGCGAGGCGAACGGGAGATGAGTGGGGGATAAAGAAAGGGAAAGCAGTGCGATGTACATTTTCTTTCTCTCTTTCTCTTATAGCCAGTAAATGAAATATGTATATGTATATACATGTATATGTATATACATATATATATATAGACACATACACATGGAGCTAAAGAAGTTTCACTTCAGTCGTGTGGTCATAAGCACGCTCATTATTTTTATTATTGTTCGCGCATATCTACGAGATGGGTGGACTGAATTTCGTGATTCCTTTTTTGTTTGAATTAGGTAATTGGTATTTGTCGTTCATGAGATAGAGCCTTGGGACTGTAATGTATATAAGTACATTACAGTCACAGTGCCCATGTTACGTTACGCGTCAGAACAAGAGAGAGAAAAACCGGAAAAAATTAAGTACAAAATTAAGTAAAGATTTTTTTATTATGTAATTGTTTTAATATTGGTAGGTTTATTATAAATAGAAAACTCGCTGTTTTGACCAAATTAAATAAATTTAAATCTAAAGAAAAGTTTACTAGAAAAACATCCACGCGGACCAGGCAGCCGACGGGACTCGAACCCGCACCCTTCGCTATCCGCGCCGCGTCGAATTTTCTCTAGAATTAGGCTGCAAGGCAGCGCGGTTCGAGTCCCGTCTGCTGCCTGATCCGCTTAGATTTTTTTCTAGTAACTTTTCTTTAGATTTTAACATCTAGTAGTTAAATGCTTAAAAAATAAAAACATAACTAAAATAACTTTATTTGAAATAAACAAGTTTTGATATTTTTTTAACAAAATGCAGGCAGGTACGTTTGCGACAGTGGCGTCTGTTAATTGTATTTAATTATAATTAAAAATAAGTCAAAAGTTTTCTTAACCTTTCATAAATAAGAGTGTTGAAATCTTTGGCCAATATAAAATCGAGGTGATTGAAGGGATGGAAGGGCACATTATAAATATCTATGACGTTCCCCAGCTCATTATAGAGTCTGTCAACGTCAATGGGATGGGACAACCAATCTTCATCACTATACACCAATGACACAGGACAACTTATGTCTCTCAATGGATAATCAGGCGGTTTCGCCGTACCGTATCTCCGCAAATTTTCTGATGCACCATGATCATATCGTCTAAACTCGCCTGACACATAACTTTGGGCGTAGTGAACGAACTGCTTGCTGGATGCCCCCGATGGAAAATGAGAGTATATCACTGGCAAATTAGTAACATTGAGCTGTTCGTATCCAGCGCCGGCCACAAGGAACAACAGGTTGCTGCAGAGGATCTCCGAAGTGGGCCCGATACCGCACATCAACTGTTTCAAGCCGCGTATCAGCACGTTGTCCGGAAGAAACTCGTGGAGACCGATCAGATTGGCGAGACCATGTAGGAGGCCGTTTGTCGGCGAGAGCAGCCGCACTACAGGAGACTTTACGTGCGACATGAACGCCACGGGAGATAAAGCCACCATCAGAGCAATCTTTCTATTATAATCTGGTCTCTCTGATGCCATAACGAAGAAACTGGTCGTGCCCTGCGAATGCCCGATATATTTGACTGAATCCTGCCCTGTCGCTTGCAATACGTAGTCGATCATCGCAGGCAGATCATAGACACCAATTTCGTGCCACGAAAAATCCCAGAAATTGGGATTCGATGACTGGATTTTACTATGGCGTCGAGAATACTTATTGCCTCGGGCGTTTCCAAACCATACGTCATAGCCTTCTCGCGCTAAATGGTAGGCCAATCCACTCTTCGGTCCAGCTATGACGTAATCATCAGCGCTGCCCAACAAACCGTGCATCAGGAAGACAACAGACCCATTCCCAGGGATACGGAACAATGTTAGGACATATCCGTCTTCCGTGACAGCCGTATGCCTCTCCACCATGTATCCGTACTTATTAATGAGACTCGGGCAGTCCAACCGCGTGTCTTCGTTGAGCGCTCCAGCGTCATATTCAGCTCGTATTCTATCTGAGGAATCTACAACATTTCTATCGCCAAACAGAGTAGGCAGGAGGCCATTAGAGTTGAGAGATCTCCCCGTGGAAAGCGGTCCACCAGTCAGTCCTCCCACAATAAGACTGATTACATTCGTCGAAGTCCTGGTTGCGAATTGAACTACTGGTTGGTTTGCGAGAACATCTGTGAATCCTCGCACTGTACCGGATAAATTTGGGAACAGATAATCCGTTAATCCGGCATGACACGACACGATCGCGACTACTAATACGAACAGGCGCGTGTTGTACACCATTATACACAGCCGGACTTTGGGTGTTTTTAAAATGGACTGATCAAATCACATAAATATACAACTCATTGGCCTTGAAAAGCACGTTTTTGCCCATTCTGTGACGTTATATGGCAATTTGCCGCTTGATTAAAGGGTGCAGAATGAATAGCGTATCAGATGGTACTTACTTCGCTCATCGTTGGTCTTCTAATGATGACTCCATCAGTTGTTGAAGACATTGGAAACCATATCGAAATCTGGTTAGATAATAGTTATTTATTATACAAGAGTGGAAAGTTCCTTTTTAACCGCGTGCTCGATTTGGATGACCGAGCAAGCGAAGGATTCTAAAGTTGAATCACGAGCGCAGCGAGTGATTCTAAATTAGAATCCTGAGCGTCAGCGAGGGAAACAAACGAGCACAAGGTGAAAAATCTTTCCACTCGAGTGCAATACGTAACTTTTCATCCCACCTCAGCGAGGAAATGACAAAATGAAAAAGAAAACAATTTATAATGACAAAATATTTTTATTTCAATTAAAACACATTAAGATAATCTATAAATTGAAGAAAATAATAAGAAGTAGAAAATAATTAAGAAATATTAAATGTAACGTTGCTACAGTTACTTATGTTAAGTTTAATATTTTTGTTAGGTAATGTTATGTTGGTGTTTGTGAATTGTGCGCTGTTTTGTGGTAAACTACTCGTATCAGTAATTTTAAATAGTTGTGCCGATTCATTGGATTCTATTGGCGTAAATGTTGGCGAGAGAGGGCTATTGTTTCCAATCTTATGGGGGCTCATTTTAGATGTAGAAGGGCGAGACCAAGAATCTGACAGAGGTTCTTTCAGCGTTATGGCCTCCACGATACTATTACAAATTTTTGATTTACTTTGGATTGAATCCTCTATGTATCCCTCTACAACCGAATTAGACTTCCAGCCTCCATGGCGCTTAAGCGATAGAAGATCAGCCCCTGATTCGGCCAAAAGTGTGGCTGAGGTTCTTCTAAAACAGTGACCGGTGTATAACGGGGGTTCTAAAAGTCCGAGAAAAGTTGCTATTTCTCGTGGAATACTGCCAATTTTATTCTGACCCATAGGTTGTCGGATACACTTTCCGTTGCGATATTGTAGAAAAAATCGTTCAATTGGGGTGTTAGAAGGACGTAAAGCTTGATATTTCTGAACAATGTTTACATATTCCTTGCGAATAACGAAGTTGCGGTCTTTTTTTGTCTTGGTATTTAGTACATTAATTAATAGCAATTCATCAGAATTATGAGAATATTTTGATACGTTATTGACATTAAGTAGTGTAAGTTCATTTGTTCGACATGCTCCGGTTATACCAATAATAAGAACAACCTGTAACAAAAGAAGTATTTATAATCGTAAATAAATTAATCAAATTAAAAATATTGTAAGTACTATGTACAATTTTATCAACAACAAAAAATTACACGTATTGACTTACTTTTGCCGCTAAATATACGGAATCAGGTGCTTCATTAATAAACTTTGCAATTTCAGATGCTGTGAAAACCTTCGATTTTTTTGGTTTATAACCAGATGAGGCTCTTTTTAAAAATGCCACTAATTTATGATAGGTGTCGATATGAACGTCTTTCTTCATCTTAATTGTTAATTTTAGCATTGAATACGTACTCCATAGCGTGCTTGCTTTCTTGGTCTCAGATAATTCTATAAAATATGCCAGCAAAACGTTTTCGGAGAAAGTTTTTGCTCCTTTAGCTAGTCGCCACACGTTAAATATATCGTACTGTTTCAAATACTTCTCTCGTGATTGCTGAGGGAGAAGGCTCATTTGCGCATTATTAACTGTTTCAGTTAACTCAGTTGGCGTTAGATAAACTTCATCGTCGCTAATGTCACTCATTTTAGTTGATTTTTTTGTACAGTTTTTAGGTTATGTTAATTATATTAAGCAATAAAACGTGAAAAACTAGAATGGCGCGAAGCACGCAAATAAAACAAAGAAACCAAGAAGGTTCCAAATTTAAATTTTTTCACAATTTAAAAAGTTCTAATCATAAATTTGGCACCATAGAGGTTACATTAAATAGGTTTAATGACGTTTTGAATTTACAATTATATTGAGTACTCATTATATGTGATGTTCTAAATTCAAATCTACTTTGCCGCTCAAGCGAATAAAATAGAATTTTCCAGCCAGATTTCGAAGCGCAAAATTACACTTTCCGAGGTGGTGGGATGAAAATATTATTTGATTGGTAGATATTCCGATTCTGGCGTGATTCTCTAAACTTAAAACTAAATTTAACAACAGTCTTTCCTTTTCATTCTGTATAGAATATGACAAGGATGCACTGTTGTCAAATTTAAGTTTAGGTTTAGAGAATCATGTCGGAATCGATACCAATAAGACCGAAGTTTTCCGAATTTTCTATAATAATATATAATATGAAGTACAAAAGCTGTACGTATGTATATTGTAAAACAAGTAGGTGCCTATTTTTAAGTTAGAATAAATTATAATAAGAAATATTCCAAAACAAAACGGACACATTAATTATTGAAATGTAACATATATTTGAATATTCGGTATATTTGATTTGAACAGTACACTTAATACGAGTTTTACAATTACGAAAACAATGATAGTACTGATTTTATTGTTTTCGTTTCAATACAAATAAACAGTTTTTAAATTCTATCATTAAGCAATTTGCGTCTTCTTAAATTTTAAGTATATTGGTTACATTTCACCGAAATGGACATAGAAAAATAATTTTTCAATTACGAAAACTATGATAGTTTTCGTGAGCTCAAACTCGTACTAAGGATACTGAAAGCATCTGACAGTGTACTAGTATACTGAGGTCCAATAATATTAGACTATATCACAAACATCCAGAGAATTCTTTCTAGATTTACCAATAATAGTAATTAATAACAAATTATCAAATTTTATTTACCTTTAGCGTCAAAACGCTTTAGAATTTTATTTATAACCACTTTTATCTTCGATCAACAATTCTATTGTGAAGGGTTAGCGCGTAAAATCTCGGTAAATATAGCCTCATTTGTGGAGTAAGATCTTTATTTAAATAAGTTCGGTTAATACAAAACGAAGTAACTCGCTGTCCAATGACTGGTTTTTTTTTATTTGTCGGTCATAAGGTTGATTTCACATTTTCGTGTTTACACCTTTATCGTTTTTTCCTAAGTATCAGATATAATTTATAAAAGGAACAGCAAGAGTTCGTTTAATAATAAAACTAGCGGCCGCCCGCAACTTCGTACGCGTGGAGTTAGTTATTTGCACATACTTTTTGACCCCAAAAGGGGGTTTATTTCTAAAGATACATTATAAGTACATCTCTACACCATCAACAGAGCATACATTTTGAATTGCAAGTCTGTTACTTCAAAAACATAGGACTTTCATACAAACTTCCAACCCCCGTATTACCCCCTTAGGGGTGGTGTTTCGTGATAATATGTAGCCTATATGTTGACCCGACTTCTTAATAATATTCGTGCCAAATTTGAAGTTAATCCATGCAGTACTTTTTCCCCTTTAATAATAAACACAGAATAAGCTTGGCTTAGTTACTTCATGTTTCTGAATGACAAATGGCACTGGAATGATATGAACAAAACACGGCGTAACTAGTCTTAGTTTTATCATCATCATCATTATCATCATCAACCTATTAATGTCCCCACTGCTGGGGCACAGGCCTTCCCTATGAACGGATTAGGGAGATTGGGCCATGACCCACCTCGCGGACCCAGTGCGGGTTGGTGGGTGCTAACGACTGCAGATGCAGCCGGGACCAACGGCTTAACGTGCCTTCCGAAGCACGGAGGAGCTCGAGATAGTAAATTTTTGGTCACCCATCCAATGACCGACCACTGCGAAAGTTGCTCAACTTCAACGACCGCAGCCGAACGCGCTAACCACTGGCGCCATCGAGCTTCGCTTATTCTTAGCTCATTCCTCGTTTATTAATAAGGGGGTTTGAATTTATCCCGGACATACAGACAAACGACAAAAATTCTAAAAACTATATTTTTGGCTGCTGCATCGATTTTAATCACACCCCAAGTATTTTTTTAAAAAAATATTCAATGTAAAGTTTTGACTTTCCTACCATTTTATTATATGTATGTATAACATTTTGTTATTTGTAACCTTATTCCTTTGTGAGATAGTTGTTATTAGGTTCAACTTAAACTGTTTTAAAACATTTATCTTTGCTAATTGGGAATCGAATTTTAAACATACGCGGACAGTTTTTAGCTTGATTTTGTATGCAACCCGTTATCTATAGAATTGTTGATCGAAGAATTTTATAAACACCATGATTAATTGCATACTCTCATATTACGTCAGTTATTGGATTCCGTTTTAAAACCTTGTTTATTTGTGGTTTCGTGTGTATATGAATGTCAATACTGATTACTAATATATGTATAATTGTTCAAAAAATATATAAACACCGACTATACTGACTTGATAAATCTTTGCAGTCAACCTCTGAACCTCGTACCCTCTAACAATGTGCCTCGATTGATCTTCTCTGCAGATTAGGGATGATGCCTAATTTTTCTTCGTTTATCAGGTAGATTATCAAAAAGTATTGGACACGTATTTTTTCTTTTTTCATATAATATAAATATTGCAGAGATATATTGATTTGAAAATTCGCATGACGTCACGCGTAATTGTATTAAACAAGTGCAATTTTCACTCAAAAGTGACGTCACGAGCCCCTACTCCCAAAATTTGAGGCGCTATAACTTTGTCATTTTTTGATTGATTGCCCAAAGAAAAAATACGTGTCCATTATTTTTTGATCATAGAATTTAGTTTACTGTATCCCGGCATCACCCCTTTCTACTCCGTTCCCAAACTTAGAGAAAGATAGGTTTAGATAGCAAATTTCCCGCTCAAATTGGAGCACCCGTCTGGGGAAGTAACATCCAGCTTACAGAAGACCACAGCAAAAAATAGCACTACCTTTTTGTGTTTCTGTCGGTGAGTAAGGTTCCAGAGCTCCACGGGGTAGGGGATAGCGTCAAGGTACGCAGCGGCGCGAATGATTTTTATTGTTTTGCGAGCGTCTATAAGCTATGGTGGCAGTTTACTATCAGGCGGGCCATTTGCTTGATTGCCAACCTTTAAACATAAAAACGTTTTAGAGCAATATTGAACTCAGAGGAGATATACCTATGTACAGTGGATCCCCGGTAGTCCGACA